TTCATTTCTGTTTCTCTGTTAGACATTTTAAGTTTGTAAATAAAATCACAACAGTTTTGAGAATACACTTGTTTAAGTTTATGAACTTACTAAAAAGTTGTAACTCATCTAGATACTGTATACAGTGGCTTAAAATTACAATTGAGAACTAAAATTTGAAACTGAAAAAGTAAATATATATCAAACCCCTATATAACTATACTGTTGGTCATGGATTTGTTAAGGGATCGTACTTATTACTGACACAAAGATCAAATCAGAACAAACAGCAAGAATTTTCACTGATGCTAAACAGTTTTGCAAAGGATGGAAGTTTCATTACTTTGCAGGGGATCAAAATTTCATCTATCAAAATGCTGTTCAAGGGGCTGAAATAGCCATCTCCCGATTCCCTACTAACAGTTAGCAAATAACTGGTTTTTAGTTGATAAATCAACGATCAGAAAATTGATATCTGAGCAAAATTCACCAAAATTAGATATTACATTCAGATCATAAACTTTATGTAATTCATCAAAATTTAAATAAGATATTGTGATACATTTTGACCAGCAAAATAACTTGCTATACAGTAATTGATAACAAGAGTTTGATTGTCAAAACTAAAACACACTGTATGACACAACAGACAAAATCATTTCGATGTCTAGATGTGATTTGTAAGCGAAATATAATCAAATTTCATTCATTTGCTATTACACTGAAGCTCAATTTTGTATGGTTAGGGGTCATAGTGTATAGTATACTTGCTTTTCATCCATGCTCCTTGTGTTTATTCCCCACAAATCTGACTAATTATGGATACTTGAACTATCATGTACACGTTCTGTACAGACTCTGTATTTCTATGTCTATATTGCTTAAAAACTCTTAAAATGCTTGCATTCATTCAAACCAGGAACAAACAATGAGAGAAAGCTGATGGAAAAATGTTCATAATCTTTGTTAAATAGATGAAGTTTAAAGCAGAACATTGATTCCTGAGACTGCTTTTTCAAAGCATATTTCAAAACTTTGTTAAAGGGTCATTCTAAAAAGTACATAGTATTTTCTATAAAGAAACCTGAGCATGGTTTTTGGCAAGACTATGACTTATGGGTAATCACATTGAATCAAACGATACAAATTAACATAAATAAGCATGAATTAAGGAGATAAACAAAGACAGAGACAAGAACACCTTAATCATTGATTCATACCATTCGATGCTACATTATATATATATATATATAAATGGGTGAATTGTTGACAATGCCTAACTTCATTACATGCTGATTGATCAAATCACATCTCATAGGTCTAAATGTATTGCAATATTACACAAGCAGAATCTGCACACACAAAGTAAATATTAAAGTCCAAAATCCTGTCAAGTGTCTCATAAGCGAATAAAAGAAACCTGTGTTGTTGCAATTTTTGACTGATAAGAAGGGAAACCCCCCCCCCAAAAAAAGAAAATGAAATGGAAATGAATGAAATAGTTATTGATTAAAAGGACAAAAAACAAAGAAAATCAAAACCCTCCCCCCCCCCCCCCCCCCCCCCCCCCCCCCCAAAAAAAAAAAAATTAAAATAAAAATGAAATGAAGCATTTATTGACATATTGTCAGGTGAATGAATATAAAGATTTATGAGCCCAAGAAATGATGGTTCCCTTTTGGCCTAAGATAATATCGGGTTAATAAATCTTCATATTCACCTGAAAACAGATCAATATAGTATACCAGTAACATCTTATATTCAGTGTAGTTTTACATGGATTTACCAAAAAAGGATGATTCACCTTTTTTTGCAAAATGACCTGACATGATCTAACATAAACAGAAACAAATCCAGATCCTATATATCACATGATAAGGGATATTTGTGATAAAAGAATGTACATTTAGAAAAGCAGAATAACTTTTCCATGTCAATCTTTAGATTCTTGTAGATATATACATCCATTGTTTTTATTGTGATAACATAACATACCTGTGTAGGTCAAACTGCACAAGATTGTACACCAAAAACATCATGGAAATACTCCCTGTATAATACAGTGATTATGTAATTAAAACTGAAGACAAATTTCCAACAACTCTCTTTAAACTTATAGTAAGAACTATTTCAAATTGATCTGTATATTAAGAATGAGGAAGGTATACTTTCTAATCAAAGGGTTTTCCAGTTTTACCTTGCATCAAAAATCAACAGTTTCCTACAACCTTGTCATATTTCCTAACAATCAACTGAGGAACACAACTGGTATAAAATGTCTTGTTTTTTGCCTGCAAACAACTTACAAACTCGAGATGAACATAAAAACATTTCTGATATTACCTAAAATTATTGGAAGTCAATTTTAATGTAAATCAACAGCAAAATTAGGGTTAATTTAGAGCAAAAATACTAATACAACAGTTAAGCCAATAATTCTGATCTTGGTGAATCTGAATTTTTTACCTGACTTATCTACATTATACAAAGCTGACCAAAGCCGCTTAGCTGAAGTCTATTAATGATGAGTTATCTCCCTTTCTGTATCATAAATATCTCTACACATTCAGTTCATTATCACAAAAAATTTCAAATGCTGAATTTTGATGGAGTTTTAGAATTGATCTATACAATATCATGAACAAAGTAAAATACTGATGGCCAAAACTGACTTATTTATCAACATAAGAATTAAAAATTTTGATGTCAGATATGATATGTATAATCCCTGTAAATCATGTCTTATTCTATAAATATAACAACATTGATGGTAGGAAAGTAATTATACTTCAATAAATATGATGTACTTTGAATTATTTCACTAGTATAAAACCATTTATTTAAAAATGATCATTTCAAAGTTAGAGACAGAATTTTCAAAAGCTTACTTAGATGTATTAATGTAGATTGGGTATCTGAAACATAGGTACAAATTTGTCACATGTATATCTTTGAAGAGATAATTAATAAAGGAAAGAGAAAAGACAAAAACAAAGAAAATGCCAGAGATAAGCTTGATCATTTTCATATCTTAAAGTGACAAAAACTTCATTTTAAGAATCTATATTCATTCACAGAAACCAAGCTTCTCTTCAACCTTGTCAAAGTAAGATGGAAAGCCACAACATAATACTCTATGTCTAAAATCTAACATCCTTGTGTTTGGTATTATAAAAATTATCACACAAAAACAAAAAGATAGATCATTGCAATGATTGTATGTTCTACATGAACTATGTAATAAATATATACATATCATAAAGTCTAGAATTAACAGTCAGTTAAAATCCATACACACAACAGGATGAAAAATGTGACTTAGAGGGCCTGTACAGATCACCTTAAAAAAGGACTCATGGTGAAATGATTTAATTCAAAGTAATATTGTACACATGCCTCGCTGAATGAGGATATACCCAAGGCTTACTGTGAACCAATTCTACTGATTTTCCCAACACAGGAAGTTCGCAGCAATAAACTTTCATGAAACAGACTATGGTATATCATATCACATTTTTTGATAGTTATTTGTCCTTGTTTGTCTTTAGATCACTTTTTTCTCAATTATGAAAGTAAAACAAGCATGAAAGAAATCTGGTTTACTTGCCTGGTAATGCATAGTAAGTGTATGGATATGGTCAAACGACAAAAGGATCCCGAGAATCTCCCTACAGAAATGCCTGGTAATGCATAGTAAGTGTATGGATATGGTCAAACAACAAAAGGATCCCGAGAATCTCCCTACAGAAATAATTTACACTTTCTCAAGATCTCTTTCAAATCATGATATAAGAGGGAAAAACATGATCCCAGTGAGATATGATCATAAATATTCCTCACCAAGTGATCCAATGGGCTTGTATCACTTGGTCACTACGTTTATTATGCAAATATTTTTAACGATTTTAACTTTCCAGTATGCAAAAGGTGAAAAATACCTTTGATTATAAACAAATCATTGAATCAATGTCAAAGTTGGTAGCTTCTCCATCCCAGCATGGTGTGCTTGGCCAAATATCACCAACCTCAGACTCTAAGATACTCAAAAGAATTTGTTAAAAGGTTTTGTCTCATTTGGCTCAGGTGACCATGAAAATAGGTCAAGGTCATTGATTTTAACAAATTGGATACCCCTTCATTCTAGTATGCTACAACCTAACACCATGACCCTTGGCCTCATCTTAATGCTGGAGAGAAAGATAATGGAAACCACCCATGGCATGCATATCTGATCTTAATGGATATTCTGTCTGATCCCCAAATTCGAAGATAATGTTCTCACCAAAGGTTTTCTTCCTTACTCCCAATAATGCTACCCAATGGATAATTTAAGTTCAAAAGTATTTCATGAAGTTATAAAATGTTCGTAATATTTTGTAAATCATTTAATATTCAAAAGTATTTATTTTAAAGAATATGAAAATTTTCACAGTGTTTATGTTATCAATTAACAACTAAATACTGTAAAATCACAAATTTTTGTGTGTCTCAAATTCCAAGGTTTTGAAAAAACAATAACTATTTTGTTGACATTTTATTTTGTAAGTAAATATGATTCTATAATTGCATGAATATTTAGTATGGCAGGTCATGGAAATCCATTCATGGATCACAAGTACCCACAAAATTTCTTGAAATTTTAACAAAATATACTTTCTAAAAAACTGTTCTGCATTGCTTTCAGGGCCACAACACATAATTTCTTACTCAAAGTGGCAGAGTGGGCTTATTATTGGACAATGAAATTACATTTATTTGTATTTCTGCAGCAATCAAATAAAAGATATGAATCAGCATATTATCAACAATGAATAGTGGGATTATTTATAGTATAATTAATTACAATATAAATTAAGATAACACAGACAAGGATTACCTAACTTTTCACATACCAGCTGTCTAAGTGTCTAGTTGTTTACTTGTGAAATGAACAAGACCAGATTGTTACAGCTTCAATGAGCAGGAATGAGATAAAAATATTTTCAACAATGTTGTTTACATCACATCTGATTACTGACTAGTTATGTCAGAGAACTCTCTGAAGAAGTTTTGTTGAACACCTCCATCATTTGTTCACGAACACTTTGAGCCATATCAGAAACTTCTTCAATCTTCATTCCTTTTGTTGAGATTGGTGGCAGACATGTAATGATGAATTTACCTAGAAAAAAGAAAAAATAACAAGAATTTTTACCAGATATGGCAAACTTTTCACTGATACATGATGAATTATGTGAAGTCGAGATTAATGTAAGATGCATTTAAATGTATCAAAATAAACCATTTTTCAATTTCTCTTTTAACTCTTCAAATTTAGTTTCCTTAATAATCCACAATCCAAGAAGCCCTTGGTGCCCACCATTGTTTGATTTTTAAAAGTTGAATATTTTTCTTTCTTTTTTCTTCTTTCTTCTGTTTTTGTTCTTAATTATACCAGACATAAAATTCCTATTAAGAAGTTGTGATATTAATCTCTTAACTGCCAAACGGGAACTTACAAATGAAATTTGAGAAATGTCCATTCAAAACTATCAAGAAATACATTTAATAGTCAAAAGGAAAGATCGCAATCAGTCAGCCAGTTTGTTTTTCAGGTCAATCTAAAAATCAAATACACAAAACCAGTGAACAACGGAGACCTACATTTGAATTTGAGAAAGATCTATTAAGTACTTTTCAAGAAATAATGATAACAAACTTTGATTGTTGAAATTCATGATGACCACCTGTCGGCCATTTTGTTGTTCTGACCTGCTCAGATATCAAATTGGCACAACTAGGGACCAAGAGAAACTACATATGAAATTTGAGAAAGTTCCATGTATATTACTTCTCAAGATACAAACTTTCATTGTCAAATCCAATATGGCCTGTCAGCCATTTTGTTTTTCTGATCAGTCCTAAAACCAAGGGAAACCTACATGTACAATTTAAGAAAGATCAACCTTGTGCTTCTCAAGGTATAGCGATAACAAAAATTGTTTACAGACGGATGGACAAAGGACAGACATGGACCATCAATATCGGGTGATTGGAATAGCCCACCATCTGATGATAATATATAATAGACATGTGTGGGCTTACTGGCAAACATGGGATTACTGCCCAATAGAAATGGTAAAGTAAAGATCCTCCAAGGAATTGAAGTGAGGTTAAAACTGAGGAATAATTTTTCTCTTAATATTGGAGAAAACATGAATTTGTTAAGATCTGGCCAAGCTCTTGATGTGATATCACAAAGGAGATGATTGATACGTGTCATATAACAGGATCAGAATGGTGAAACTTTTCTGTTTAATCTGATTATTTAACAAGACATCAGATTGAGTTATTACTTAAAAGCCATGTATATATCTTACCTGCAGAAAACCTTTTCTCCTTCTTGTTGTAAAATTCAGAATAGGAGGAGAAAACGACAGGCACAATGGGCATCTGTAGAAGTAAAAAAAGGAGTTTAAAGGAAATGTCTTACATGTGATGACATGGTACTTCAGTTACATTGGTGTTTCTACCAAGATTAACCAATTCAAGCTATCTCTGTTAGTTCTTAACCTCCGGACAAATTTCCAAATTTTTGTGAGTGGACAAAACATGTTTCTGTAAATCACACAACGTTTATCAATAAATAAACAAGTAGAGATAATTCAACCATAATCTTTCTGTAATTGTATAATCTTCATTCTGACATGGAAAGTGGCCTCTGATCATGTATTTACTTCTTCATTCTCATCAACTTTGCTACATTTCATATTTACATATCTGCCAGTAAATCACTTAAAAATTGACCTTTAATTTTGACACCGACTTAGTGATTTGTCAATTGATTTTGATAAACTTTATCCCATAATATTATGACAAGAAATATGTCATTACAATATTCAGAATTTGACCTTGACCTCTAAGTTGACCTGCCTTTATATTGTCACATCAAAGTATTTACCAGAAGAACTTTTAGGTAATCCTCTTATTTTGGTAATGACTTTATCTACAACTGAACATCAGTGACATAATAACAGAGTATATAGCAATGTCTGTTAAAAAGCTTTATCTCTACACCATCTAATTCAAGAAACATGGTGGTCTCCCTTGCTTAACAGGTGCACTCTGGTTTGTCATAGGGAACAATTAGTAGGATCTTTCCTAGCTGAAGGGTAGGACTGAGAAATCTCCAAGGAGGAGATTGTTTCACATGAGGCTTTGCCTGTCAGGAATCTCCTAGTTACTTGAAGGCAGGGAAAACCACATTATTGGAAAAAGTTGATTTTTTAAACATTAATTGTATATGAGTGGGCATGTGATCACACATGATCTCCCTGTCAGATAAATAGGATAATTGATTTATAAAGTACATGAACAACTTACAGACAAACACAATAGCCAGATGACGAGTGCAAATCTATTGTTCTGCCAGACAGTACTATTGAGGAATTTAAAATACCCAGCATGACTAAAGTTATCAATACAATATATTGACAAGACTTTCTAATAATTGATATATTTAAAGGACTTTCTAGTTTAACTTTGAATATCATAAAATGAAAATGACGAATACTCTCTGAAAATAATTTTATTGGACATTAATCAAAAGGCAATAATTATGTAATTAAGAAGTTGCAGGCCCTGAATTTGGTACACTGCACATTCTCTTAGTATAACTAATGTATACACCAAGTTTCAATAACTAAATTATGGAAGAGAGTTATGGTTCTTGTGCACTGTACTTCTCCTTACTGAGATCTATCCATGACGTTTCATGGTGATACCTCTTATAGTTTTTGTGATATGTTCTTGACAAAATTATGACAGATGGACAACTAACAAAGCAACGAATATATAATCTCCCTTTGGGGAGCATAAAAATAAGACAAACCTGAGCTAACACGGCTAGATGAAATGCTCCCTTTTTAAATGGTAACATTGTTGCATCATGGTTTCTTGTACCTTCCGGGAATATTATAATGGAGATCTGGTAACAAAAGAAAAACACTATCAATCTATGTATAAGTAATATGTCAATCTAGGGACGATATCATAATAAATCAATGAAGGTTATATAACATACAGGTACACCCCGTGGGGTGATATTCTTGGTTGTCTAACCCGAGGCTATGCCGAGGTGTGATATTCTTGGTTGTCTAACCCGAGGCTGTGCAGAGGGTTAGGCAACTGAGAATATCATCCCAAGGGTTTGAGATTTCTCTGTTACACCTTCAAAGTAGGAGATGATTATTTTTCTCCCATCATACTTTTTCTCAGAGAGCCTTAGCTTCGGTGATAATCAGCTTGTAAACAAACAGGTAAAAATACTGTTCATATGTAGCAGATGACATGTGTAGAAGTAGTTCCGGTTCACTTCCGGTGCACACGCTACCTGTCATACCCTAGGGGTTGACAGAGAAATCTTGAACAAGTAAAATGGGTGACAAGCCTGTGAATGATGGGAGAAATATATTTCTCATCTTGGTAATTTGATATTGTAGATTGTGATTAAACTTCAAGGCATGAAAACAGGGCTAGAGACTTATTTGTCTTGTATTTACATGCCAAAACACAATGCTCACAACTCATACACTTCATAATTGAAAAAATGTCTTCTTTTGTTAATTGAAACAGAGTATATAAAATATATTTTTCCTTCATAAGGTTGGAATAAAATTTTCAAATTAAAAATCAACGAATCATGCCATATCATTGATAGTTTAAAGCACTTCAATTCATATTGGTATTTCTCTAAAAGAAGCAATGTGACCTTTGACCTTAGTCTTGACAGATGGCTACCCAAATAAGATCATGAGTAAGCTTGTTTGCTGGGTTTATTACAACTAGAAGAATTTTGAAGTGGGGACGTTTTACATTAGCTGGTGGCAACTTCAATGAAAATATACAGGAGGCCCATCATACATCCTTAAGCGCAATGGAGATAAAAAGAAGAAGTTTCTTGCCAAAGGATACACAGCACATATTGGTACAATTCTTAGCTTCCTGAGAAACACAAATGATAAAGAGAGAAAATGTCAAACCACACACTATGTATATATATATATATATATATATATATATATATATATATATATAGTTGTGTTATAGGCTAACACACTGCTGACTCAGCTATCGTGACCACTCTCATGTGCAGGATATGATGGTGTGATAGAGTAAATATGGACTAAATCAGTTGAGGAGTTCATTGAGGCTTATAAGATATCTTGTACACAAGCTTTTTATTTCAGAAGTGGTCAACAGTTACCTATTGACCATTAACACAGACCAGTAATCACTGATATCTAATCAGGTGTAAAAGTGAACTTAAACTTGTCAACAGGTTCAATTTCAAAACCAGAAGTACAAGAATTACTTTCATTTCCACTAAGAGAAAATGAGAGCTCTTTGTTATTTAAAAATACTGAAAAACATTATTAATAATCGTAATGTTAAATAAACATTGTTTCAACTTCAGTCATTGTTTATTTTGTTTTGATACACAAACCAATCTAAAGCTAAAGGATGGTATTTGAAGACAGAAATTATAAAATGTATTGTTAGTACATAGGATGTGTTAAGATTAAACACACTGTGCAATGTATAGAAAATTATGCTAACCTTTTCTTTCTTGATATATTCGCCTGCTTCTGAAAGTGTGGAAACAGCTTTGCTGTGGTTCACCCGATCAACAAATACAGAACCTAACATCCACATCAACAGTCCCAAGGGGCCCATGTACATCAAAGATTTTTTGGCTAAGACGGAACAACGTTTTGGCCAAATCTCCATCAAACCTGTAAAAAATAAAAGCCAAGTACAATCCATCTTAAAACAAAAATGTCTTGTTAGTTTTAGAATAGTATTACTACAGGATAATATTCAGTTGACTATTTCTCTAAGATTAACCACCTGTCTGAAATTGCATACTATGATGAAAGGAACTTAAACAATGTGTTGTAATTTCCTCGCTTAAAGTGATTTTATATGATCATTAACAATCACTGCTTCTCTGGTGATCTTATTTTTTATTTCACAGAAGACAAGAGGCCCATGTCCCTTAACAGTCATCTGACAATCAACAAATGGATGGACAATCCATAGAATTTGCTGATGGTGGTCTGACAAATCTGATAAATTCAGATTTAAAAATATTCCTTAAAAGTAGCAGAAACTCATAAATGGTAGGTTCTGTTCATCAAAAACAGTTGTGCAATCATGTTACAAAATGGTCACTGTGGTTAAAGTTTTGATCACACTAAAAAATAACAACATATCATCTCTTTGTTTTCCTCAACAAATCAAACTCAAAATATTTTTGTCAATGGTGTGAATGAAACTGAGAAGAAGTTCAGACTATTTGTTCAAGTTGAAATATTTTAGACAAAAGCAAAAAAAAAAAAAGATTTGGTCAGTATAACCTCAGGATCACATTAATTTATGCACTTTTGATATTGTTGCCACTTCCTAATAATGTTTCAGGCCAAATTTGGTTGGAATTCATAGAAGCATTATGGAAGAATAGCATTTTGAAGCAAAATATTGACTAATTTCCCCACTTGGGGCACTGCCCCTACTCCCTAGTACTCAAATCAACTTTCTGAATTTAAGACTTAATTGTCCACCTCTACTTATGTTTCAGACAAAATTTGAATGAAATCCATTCAATAATAAAAGAACATTAACATTTTGAAGCAAAGTATTGTCTAACAACTCTTTTGGGGCTCCATTCCCAGGTCCCTACATGTTGAATCAACTTTCTGAATTTAAGAAATAATTCCTCTCCCCAAATAATGTTTCAGATCAAATTTGGTTGAAATCAACCAAGGCGTTAAGTAGTGTTTTAAAGGAAAAGTTTATGAATGGCATAGGATGACGGACGATACACGATAGCAATTGGCAATCTTGAGCCATCGGGGCAGATAACCTAAACTAAAAATTCATACCATAAAATCAGTTATATTGGAAGGGGATGTATTTTTTATTGAATGGGTACTCCAATGGACATGGATTGTAGTACTAGCAGAGTTCATGTACAAGATTCAATCACGAAATCAAGTGCCAACAAAAATGTATATTTTTGGAAAACCATGAAATTTCAGCCTCACAAAAATATACGATTTTTAAGTATATATGAAAATACTGTTAACAACCTTATTATGGGCAATTAAACTTCATTTCTAACAAATTAGTGTGATGATGAATTTTTTGCATCTGCAATAAATTCTATATGGAAAACTGCAATTTATATTTAAGTACAGTACTTTCAGCTCTGAAAGTACTAAAATAAGGTTACTACTAAAATATGAATGTTTACATTAGATGACAAGAATTAAGCCTGAGGAAGCATGGTTGTCATATTTTACATTAATACCTTGATAGAGAACCATCCATCATGTGTCAAGTTCCTGGTCTATTTAAGAACAGGAAATACCCGTCCATCTAGTATATCATAAAACTGTAAGGGAGGGAGGGGGATGGAGGGGGAGGGAAAAAGGAAGAAGGAGGAGGGGAGGGAAAGGGAGGGAGATGGAGGAGGATATATAACACACCCTTACAGGACAGTAGGATATCAGCGGATTTGCTTGACCAAATTTTCAACATTTTATTTTCTAATTTTCATTATAAAATAATTGTTATTTCACACAAAAACAAAACTTAAAAATATAGAACATTCAATCTAGGGACCAGGCTGGATTGCAATGCCAACACAACTAGTAAAGGGCATATTCTTTCCAGGTAAAGTCATTATTGTTATGCCCAGTTTTTTAAGTCATTATTGTTATGCCAAGTTTTTTAAGTCATTATTGTTATGCCCAGTTTTTTAAGTCATTATTGTTATGCCCAATTTTACAAAGAGATTCATTGAATACTTTTATAAACAAGGGATCTATGACAAGATTAAAGTGGTAAAAAATCATGGGACATTAAAAAAATTACCAAACAAATTTAATGAACTTTGATGATTAACACACTCACCAAACAGATCTAGTGAACTTTGATGATTAACACACTCACCAAACAGATCTAATGAACTTTGATGATTAACACACTCACCAAACAGATCTAATGAACTTTGATGATTAACAACTATGATACAAGGTGATACAGCCTCCAGATTCTCACGTCCTCGTACATCTATAGATATTCCAAAAAGCCTCCTTTCAAGTTTTACAATAAATGCTGGATATCTGAAAGAGAGTAAAATATTAGCAAATTAATGTGATTTGTCAAGAAGAAATTAAGGTATTGATTAGAAAAAAATGGAAACTGATGAATTGTGCTCCCTTGAAAATCTGACATTTGAATTATGCTGGCATTTACAGAGATTAAGCCTACAAATTCCAGTTCAGCATGTGTTCATTTCTTTCAACCCATGCCCCTTGTGTGAATCATAATGGACCATTCACTCAATTTGACCTATAGTCTCAATCAGACTTACACTTACATTACCTAAAATGGTACATGACACATTGTCACGCCTAAGACCTAGAAATATTCCTATCTCAACTAAGACATCATAACCCAAACAATTGATTTGACCTTCGACCTCATTTTTACCTTGATCTTCAAAGTGCAAAATTGGACATGGTACAACTGGCACAATATCACAATCCTGCATTTATCCATGAGATTTCAAAGACCTACTTTGTACTTTCATATATGAAGAAATATGACCTTGACAAAGAATGTGAATACCGTTCTGAAAGTGACCTTGACCTTTGGTGAGAACAAAGCATTGGAATTCCACATATATTCATGTGATTGCATTCATCTATTTTAATTAAGTGAAAAAGGCCCGGATAAGAATCTAAGAGGGATGAAATTGACTTTTAAACACCAACATGAACTTGACCTTGGGTGAACAGTTGAATGACATACTGGTACTTTCCTTGAATAAGAGTGTTTTTGGTCTTGGGATTGAATTCAACTATCAACCTCTTTGTGACTTTGACCTTTAGATTTGAACTTAAAAGAAAATAAAAGATAGTTGGACAAGCAAATGAACAATTAGGCAAAACAATCATGACTATATGGTTAGTATATGCTTCCAGTTTTTTGTGGGAACAGTGCATAAAAATTTTGATCTCTGGTGGGTATACATAATGAGAATGGATAAAATGGATAAAGTGCTGAACTATAGCAAACATGAAGATGGGAAACATAAATATCAATCTAATGAAGGGAGGTGGAAATCAGAAATAAAACACAATCAACCTTTCAAGGTAACTGAGAAAAGTGATTGTAATTTTTTTATGATTTTTATGATGGGTCTAGAGCAGCATTTCCAAAATTTTGATGAGTCTAGTAACAAGGACAAAGTGGCTTCTCAAAATTTGAGGAAGTTCCACAGGTAAGGCACTGAATTCAAATATCTGAGTCCCAAAAATCACTGAAAATGGTCTTTATTCAGAGATGCTAGCTATTGCTATGAATTGTATAAAATTGGGAAAGGAAATGTTTGGTCTTTATTGAAAAGCATGTTACATACAAGTGACCTTTATAGACAGGTATTTTATATAAATGTGATCTTTATAGACTGGTATTTTGTATATATACATGGTCTTTATAGACAGGTATAAATGCTAGCAGTTATTTCATTGTTCTTCTTTGAATCAAAGTTTATGCCTTTGCTTATTTGGCTTGTTACAAGGTAAACAGGGTTTTACATGTGGTGATGAATTATGATTGAAAATTTTACTCTTTGGTTGGTTATACCTACCTACACATTCTGTATGTGAATAATCATCTATTAAGGCATGAGAGGGATGGTCAAGAAAGGTTTGTATATCACATGCCTGAGGTAGGTACTGAAGGTAAATGTCCTAGTCCATCAGATTTTTTCTCTAGATTTTTAAATCTAGAAATTTCCTTATAAAATAGAACTATTTTGGGTTTGCATCTTTCACTTCATAGCTTATAGATTTTAAGATCAAAGTTTTCTGTGTGTGATTTTTTTTAATCTTATACAATAGTACAAAATATAACAAGAGACACTTGGATTTTCTGGTCAACATCTGACTAAATTTACCTATTTCATAAACGATATGACAGCAGAAGTGGTACTGTAATAAATTATTCAATGATTGAAGTAGTTCTGAAAAGTAGACAAAAATATAAAAAAAATTCAATGTACTGAAATTATTGAATGGCTAAACATATTGATAATTTATATATTTAACATTTTAAATGTAAGATAAAATCTATCACATGCAAAACAATTACTTTTATAGAAGATGACTATCAACCAACAAAAAAAAAAAAAAAAAAACACCAACAACAACAACATGACCATATAGTCATTGATATGTCATATTAAAATCTACTGCTTGTGTTATAAAAACTTTTATTCTATTGATTGAATTATGTTACAAAATGGTGTCAGTTGCTGCTTTGTCAAAGTTTTGAAAATGCAGAAAAATGACAATACATTTTCGGCTTCCTTTCCATAACATCGCAATGAATTTTCTGATCAGTGACACTGGCAGAACTAGAAACATTTTCAAATAATACCACATAATGTAACAATTTACAACTGTCCTACGCAAAAGAAATATCTATGACTTATTAAGCTGAAATGAATACAAATATGGAAATGGCAATAATAGGTTAAAATGCCAAGAGGAAATAATAATGTATGATTTGATAATAAATTAATGTATACAATGTTTTATAGAGATGATAAAAAAGATTGAAAAACAAAAACAAAAGGCAATAATTCTGAAACATTGTTGAATCCAAATTCTGCTTATGAAGACATTCCTATTGTTATGGTTTTGAGGTCTACCAGGTGAGATGACATAAAAAGTGTATAAAATATCAAATGATTTAAAATGGAATACATATATCATTACATAAGTAAAATCAAATGAAAAGCTAATTTTAGCTCAAATCTAGGCTTTTTCGAAGCCTTCTTGAGAAGCAACTTAGAAAACATCACCCAAGGACATGCTTTCTTGATTTATTATATAGTAAAAAATTGGTCTAGGACTTTTTAAAGCTCCCCCCACTTCCTTCCCTACCAGTCTTACATTAGATATAGTATTAGTATTCACAGCTACAATTCATGGTCACATCACCTGCTCCATAATTTAAGAAGAATTATTATTTTTTCTGGTAAATGTCTGAAACAGAAGAGGTTTTTGGGTTCATTTTTCAAAGTGCCTCTTCTATATTGAGATGCTTCTTCCAGTGCAAGGTGATGATGGCATCATGTGGTATTTTTCCTTTAACATTTTACACGGTTCTATCATGTCCCTACTTACTTTACTAGAGGCCAATGCTACGTCTTTCAACCTCTGAGGCCATCAGGAGGAATAAATCATACTATGTCTCTGTCATAATTTCAAGAAATAATGTTATGGATCATAATATAGCAGACCACTGATGTACCATGATCACATGACAATAATTTTCGCTTCATATACATATTGCTCAAAAATAGGCAGATTTCACTGGTTTGGTTTACTCCCGATAAAATGTTGTTACGTTAACAAGATATATATAAATACATACAGGTATCAACTAAATCAGAGTTGAACAACCTGATGTAAAATCTTTCCAACTGATTTTGTCGGAAAGTAATAATTTGTCTATACCAGTGATGATTGGTTTATCAAATTATCATGCATTTGATCATAATTGAAACCATTTAACTTATGCTAGTTTATCATTATAAATTGCACTCTTTTTTTAATAAATACGTTGAGTGTTCAATCCAAAAATGACCAAGCCAGTTTTCCCCTGAGAAAATTGTATCAAGATGGTTTTGGAAGACCATTGAATGTTCTTAATGTTACCGTGGTCACAATCTTTGTGGATGAGGCAAAACAATTTCTCCTGATGATTACTCTCAGCAAAGATATCAAAACTGCTGTTACACAAATTCAGTTAGAAATTCCAGTCACATTTTATTATGTAATGAATGTGCCTTGTATACTACCTATTTATGTATTAACAGTATGTTTGATGTGCTATATCTAGTGTACAGGTAATGAGCGGTTTTATCCGATGTATTCATCTGGGGTATTACACCCTTCACTTATATTTTCTGCTGATAATTATATCAATGTTATCCAGGTTATGTTCACATGTATGAGACCAGTGGTCACTGGCCAAGGGTCTTTTTTCATTTAGCTGCACCTGGAAGTGGTTGGCAAGGTAATTTACCTATTTTTGAAATTTGGACCTCACTACGCTTGCTGATATTGAATTGCCAGCATAACAGGGAACCTGGGATGAGTGTACAGCAGGGGTATTGGTGCAACGCAGAGTTCACTGAGGAATGCCAGGAGTGCCATGCAAGAGACATTAGCATAGTTGCCTACCTAAGTGGTTCCTGGCAATTCCATATCAGCAAGGCAGCGTTGGCTGCATGTGCTAGATGTGCTGAACCATTTAGTTAATACATAGGTATATATATATATATATAAATAAACTTCATTGTACTGTTGCTTTTCATTTGTACTATTCATGTCTGTGGAAAAAACCACAGAAAAACGTTACAATTTCATTGTTAATCCTCCCTCTCCATTTACATTATTTTTTTTTTGTTTTTTTTTTTTACAACGTGAGACCGGTAGCTGTTATTTCTGTATACATTGGGATAGATATACTTGTATATAGTTGTATTTCATTGTTGTTAGAAATGGGGAAGATATTTACAAAACACTTTTTCGCAAGGAGAAACATGTTTCCTTTTCGGCATTAAAACAATTTTCACTAATCTGTTCCTAGCACTAAGTCACGCGAAATTCTATCACAAATACTTATGCAAGCTGACGTAACTTACTTGTAATTTTCCGGTCTCCTTGTTCGCATGATTGTCATTGGTAGAAGGAAGATAACCAGGAACATCGAGAAGGTCATGTTTAAAGTGAAGTATAATATAAACTTGGCATTGTATTTAAAGGTACTATTCAATTCATATAACACGGGCAACAACAGTAAAAATATGATTATTGCCCACTGAACCCAATCCAGTGCCATGTTCACAGTAGCAAGTCCTTAACGCATACTATGCTAACCGGAGACAACTTTTTCAGCAAAACCGGATGTTGCTATAATCGGGGTCAAAGGTCATGCATTAAACCACTTCCGCGTAAGTTTCGCAATTAAAGATGCGCGACCCTTAGTATGAATAACATCTAGTATTCGAGGAAGCTTTCTCTCCTCGCAGAAAGGAAGTTATAATCTTTATAAGCCAGAATATATAGTAAAAATCATTCAAAACATTGTTGAGGCTTTTTTAAACACGTGCACGCGACGATACCGAACCTATGGCAAGACAAAGTGGTAAAAGGCCAGTCTTACTGGATATCCATCATTCATTCATTGATATACATTAAGTACTTATGAAAAATTAAAAAAGATGATTAATGCATCGATTTAAGGATATTTATAAAACAACAGGGAAGAGAACTCTTGTAGGTTCTCCATCGGAACTCATTTGAATCTTCCTATGGTAATTTATAGATAGTCTAGCGAAGGTTTATGGAATAGGTATCTCAATATACATTGTTCTCACTTGGCACGACTCATAAACACCCGTATCTGAAACGCAAACAACACAAGCAAAAATCCAGTCCACTATGCATCACACAACTCCAGGGTAAAAATCCAATCCAGTCTGCATCATACAAATTGTATACATGGTGGACTGGATTCTTGCTTGTGATGTTTACTATCCAGATACAGGTGTCTGTGGCCTGAATCAGGGACGTATACGTCCCTGCCTAAATATAACAGCAGGGAAAATTTTATATTAGAAAAATATCTTACTTTTGTTCTATTTAAACAGATGTTCTCGGTAACGTTTAAAGTGATACAATTCAAGACCACAACAAACTGATTTTTATCTGTGATAAAAGACAAAGGTCGTCTCGGCCTAAAAGTACTCGCCCAGAGAGAAGTCGTGATCATATAGGGGAGGATCATCGCGCAAACTATACTAGCATGGCGTATTGGAATTACATAGGGAAAGAGCGAGTCTGCTAAGGAACGGATAAAAGGTGAACACAACCGTGCAGTAGACATAAACAGAACTATGGTACAGAACGTAATATTTTCAACAAACTACACCGCAAATACAACCCAAATTATCAACGTTAGAAATAAAGTGAATTTGCGCCAAATATTGAAAACGATAACTTAAGTGAAATCTGGAGGAGACTAAGACGAATTGGTAACGACAGAAAGTGTTGAATTCCTTGGGAAACAGTAAGTGATGGCGATGAAATGATTAATGATGTCAATTCGGTTCTAGATCGTTGGAGATCAGACTACGAGAGGTTATAAAGCCTTTATAATCCTACTCATGTACCAAAACAGCCCTCCGGATAATAACACGGAACTGAACTTTCCAATAACTTTAGAATAAGTGAAATCCGTGATTCAATATATAAATAAAATCGTCATATATGGTAACTTATACGACTATAGAATTGATGAACGAGTTTGATATGTTGGTGGATTTTGGTGTGTAATCTTAATAGTATTCTATGAGAATTAATGTGTGACACTTAAATAAAATCAACTATTACTTATTTCTTTTATGGAGCTACATGAGGCCGCTGGTGTCGAAGGTATTCACTACAGAAATTGTACGTAAAATGTTCGCTCCGAGTCGTTCGGAAACCACTAGCATACCCCAGTCTCACTCTCTTATCGGTACCATGTAAAGTATGTTGTGTCAATACTTTAACATGAATTAATGTTTTTTGTTGAGAGTAAAATTTACCAGAGTGATGTACTGACACTTCCTGACGGATACGATGTAAATGTAAAGTCAGAACAGATTGTGAAAAATAGCAGGTGGTAAAGTTATATTTAAATAAGAAATTGAGTCATTTATGACTTTCAGCAATACAGAATCAGAATATGGTTGTTATTGATAAAACTGTATATAATACCCGAATGATCTATTTATGTTTCACCAGAGACTTTTAATGAGATTGAAGCTAAAATACTTCAACTATCTAAAACTCATAGTTCAAAAAAATAAAAAATAAAAGATTTAAATATTGTTAATTGACGTATTGGAAGTGACAAATTAATTGGTAAAACAACTTGTCACAATAAGACTGTAATTGATTATCTAGTATCGTCTTCTGATAATTTCCCTCTATTTACAGAGTTTGAAGAAATGGATTTTGATCCTCTCATATGAGATGTACATTGTAGGCTACATTTTTTATAGGGTTAGGGTATTATACCAAATTGTATAATAGATAACAAACAAAATCCTATCAGTGTAAGTGTAACATAGATTGATGACAGAAAAGTTAGATTTATAGATCTGGTTCAGGGTAATAGTGCGCTTTTTAACTGGAAAATGTGTAATGTATGTTAATAGTAATCTTGTATTACAAGAATCTATAAATGAGGTTACCTCAGTAATACATATTCCAGCATGCTGCTATGGAAACGTTTGGCACTAAAACAAGTGGTCCCATATATAAGACAAGGCGTACAGGCAATGGTTCTGTAGAGAATGTTTAGTAAAAAGGCAGGAATACTCCAGCATGGCTGTACAGTACAGTAGTACAGGCAGTGGTTCTGTAGAGAATGTTTAGTAAAAAGGCAGGAATACCAGCATGGCAGTACAGTACAGTAGTACAGGCAGTGGTTCTGTAGAGAATGTTTAGTAAAAAAGGAATACTTCAGCAGGAATACAGTAGTACAGGCAGCATGGCAGTACAGTACAGTAGTACAGGCAGTTGTTCTGTAGAGAATGTTCAGTAAAAAGGCAGGAATACTTCAGCATGGCAGTACAGTACAGTAGTACAGGCAGTGGTTCTGTAGAGAATGTTTAGTAAAAAGGCAGGAATACCAGCATGGCAGTACAGTACAGTAGTACAGGCAGTGGTTCTGTAGAGAATGTTTAGTAAAAAGGCAGGAATACCAGCATGGCTGTACAGTACAGTAGTACAGGCAGTGGTTCTGTAGAGAATGTTTAGTAAAACGGCAGGGATACTTCAGCATGGCAGTACAGTACAGTAGTACAGGCAGTGGTTCTGTAGAGAATGTTTAGTAAAAAGGCAGGAATACTTCAGCATGGCAGTACAGTACAGTAGTACAGGCAGTGGTTCTGTAGAGAATGTTTAGTAAAAAGGCAGGAATACTCCAGCATGGCTGTACAGTACAGTAGTACAGGCAGTGGTTCTGTAGAGAATGTTTAGTAAAAAGGCAGGAATACTCCAGCATGGCTGTACAGTACAGCAGTACAGGCAATGGTTCTGTAGAGAATGTTTAGTAAAAACGCAGGAATACTCCAGCATGGCAGTACAGTACAGTAGTACAGGCAGTGGTTCTGTAGAGAATGTTTAGTAAAAACGCAGGAATACTCCAGCATGGCAGTACAGTACAGTAGTACAGGCAGTGGTTCTGTAGAGAATGTTTAGTAAAAAGGCAGGAATACTCCAGCATGGCAGTACAGTACAGTAGTACAGGCAGTGGTTCTGTAGAGAATGTTTAGTAAAAAGGCAGGAATACTTCAGCATGGCAGTACAGTACAGTAGTACAGGCAGTGGTTCTGTAGAGAATGTTTAGTAAAAAGGCAAGAATAGTTCAGCATGGCAGTATACCATAGGAATACCATAGCGCCAATACCATCATAAAAAGTGCAGAACCCCTACTAATAAAATGTAATAAAGACAAATTGATGGACTATATAATTATTTCAAAAATCTGAATGCAGTTGACTCTAGTACTGATAAGGATGATGAGGCGTTACCAGAGAATGATGAAAATGTATGTGATGATCTACTAAATGAAATGATAACAGAGATGAATTTATATATGCCAGTAATAAATTATTTAAAAGTGAAGTTGGAGGCTATGATAAAATAATAAATTATTAAAAGTACGTAGTTTATGTTTATGTCAAATTGTTTAATGTTGTAGTAAATACAGGAATTGTCCCAGAACAATGGAAAATGGGAGTAATTAAACCTATCTATAAAAACAAAGTTTACTCTGATAATTAAAGGGCGAGAACTCTGATGTCTTGTCTTAGAAAGGTTTTTACCTCTATCTTTAACAAACGACTTACAATATTATCTGATGAAATACAAATTATATCCGATGCTCAAGCGTGCTTCAGGAAAGGATTCTCTACAACAGAGAATATGTTAATACTCTATTCTTTAATATCTATATACTTTGATATGGATAAACTATTACTGCACATTCATCGATTTTGGAAAGCCTTTGATACCGTTTGGATATGTAGACTATGAAGAAAGTTGCTTAGAAGTAATGTTTCAGGAAAAAAAATATTGTTATTTTTATATGTATTCAAGGGCGAATTCTCGTGTCGTAAATGACCAAAGAAACGAATGATTTTTTTCTGTGTGTGTAATGTCGGAGTAAAACGAGGGGAAATATGTTTTTGTTTGCAATCTTTCTGAACGATTTAGAGGATTTTTTTCAACCAAAACGAAGTAGAGTGCGTTGGTGAAATGGATCATTTCTGTTACTGAACGGAAAGTATCAGAGTGGTAGATTCAGATATGTGGTTTAATCCGATTGAGTGGAATTAGATTCAGAGCTAAAACTAGAAAAAAGTTTTACAAATAAGACAAAAGAGGCGGTCGAGGACAATAGATTGTTGTTAGAGTTGAGGAATGTAGTTCAGTTATTAGCGTAAACGTGGATACGTTTACTAAAAGAAACAAGAAGTAAAGTGTTACATTAGGAAAAAGTTCTCTGCAACCATACAGCAGTTATCACTCTCGGCTAGGTTCATGTCCTAATAGATGTTCATATAAGTCTTACCACAGCAGGGAAAAACGTAGCTCGTGGAGCGACATGTTATAAATCAGGTATACCATTTTTTGGAAACGTGATCGACGATTTTAAACAGCAATTATGAATAATAAGAGCGCAAATCGAGCGTAGTTCTTAAATGACTGTAAAATGGTACCTTAAACATTGTTGCCTCCAATCCGATATGTGTAACAAATGATAATCGTATGGTCCTTAAAATC